TTTTTTTTATATAACAGTATGTCAAAAAGGAGATGCTAGCCCTAGTTTAGGGTAGGTATGTTACAGGAAGTTGGAAACAGCTTAGAGGTTGTTGGAGGGGCCACTTGTTTCCTCATGATCTGAGTTAATACTCCAGTTACATGAACTGAGAGAAAAAGGATAAGGGGAATGAATCTACACATAAAGCAATGCAATGGTTTTTGGTCTATTTTTTGAATCTCAAATCTATTAAGCTAAATAATTTTTGTTCCAAAAATAAAATAGACTAGCTTGATAGCAAATTTTTTGTTGGTTGAAGCTATTTGTTGGTTAATTTAATTCAACCCAAATGTCAACTTAGTCACCTGCTTAGAAACAGGAAAAATCAACACCTGAAAAGTTACAAATTCTTAATATTAAAACGGAAATTAAAGATTAAATCATTCAGATTTCTAGGGTTTCCCTGATAGCTCAGTTGGTAAAGAATCCACCTGCAATGCAGGAGACCCCGGTTTGATTCCTGGGTAGGGAAGATCCACGAGAAAGGGATAGGCTACCCATTCCAGTGTTCTTGGGCTTCCTTTGTGGTTCAGCTGGTAAAGAATCTGCCTGCAATGCAGGAGACCTAGGTTCGATCCCTGGCTTAGGAAGATCCCCTGGAGAAGGGAAAGGCTACCTACCCACCCCAGTATTCTTGCCTGGAGAACCCCATGGACTGTATGGTCCATGGGGTCACAAAGAGTCGGACACGACTGAGCAACTTTCACTTTCATTTTCAGACTTCTAAGAATTTTCAGACTACAATTATTTGCCAGCCACTGGTACACTGGAGCTGTTAACACCAGCTTGGAAAGCCAATGGTTAATTTGCAACCTGTTAAATTTTGGGGAATTTTCTGAGACAGTTGACATCACATTGGTTGCTTAAAATCACTTTGGTGGGAATATTACACAGGAAATTGTCAAATGAACCAAAACAAGGTTTTTATATTTCAGAGAATCAGTAGTTAAACATTTATCAATTTGTTTACAGAAGGTTCACACCTGTCTTTATTAGGGTTTTCATGGCACTTAATGATTTTGACCTTCATCATCTCATGATGAATCATCATTTCATGATATTTGATCATATTTGATAAAACTTGTTTGATCATATAACGTTTAAGAGTTGTATTTGAATTGGTATCTCCCTGCCTGGGGCTTTCCAGGTGGCACAGTGATGCCAATGCAGGTGATGAAAGAGATGCAGGTCGATCCCTGGTTTGGGAAGATCCCTTGGAGTAGGAAATGGCAACCCACAGAAGTACTCTTGCCTAAAAAATTCCACGGACAGAGGAGTTGGCGGGCTACAGTCCATGGAGCTACAAAGAGCTGGACACAACCAGGACGGCGCACACACACACACACACACACACACCTTCCTTTCAGTATCTTCTCCCTTATCCTTTTCTAATTTTCTCTTCTTCAGAGTGAAGGGGTCTGTTTTGTAAACACTCATAAGAAATCATGGCGGAATTTAGAGAAGTAATAACAATGACCGAGGGAAAGAAAATGGGATTTCTGAAAAAACAGAAGTGAAGTGTCCAGAGGAAACATTTACTGATTTTTTTAAAGCATTTTAGTGGTATTGTCAAGTTATGCTCAATATCCACCTCATCTGAAACAGGAGAAAACAATCTTAAAGAGCAACAAGATCAATTGGACTGAAGAACACACATCTTCAGTATATGGAGAAGGAAATGGCAACCCACTCCAGTGTTCTTGCCTGGAGAATCCCAGGGATGGGGGAGCCTGGTGGGCTGCTATCTATGGGGTCGCACAGAGTCGGACACGACTGAAGCAACTTAGCAGCAGCGGCAGCAAGACCACCAGATGATACTTTAAGAATAGACAACTATCTTATGTGTTTAGTGTGTGACTGGTCTGAAGATGATACATTTTCTCCCTTGTAAAGGAGAAAAATAGTTAAGAAGTATATATGGGAAAGACAGAAATGTAAAAAGGAGAAAAATATTCACTAATAGTCCTTAGAGATGGCCATTATTAACATCTGCTCTCCTTTCTACTACAATTTCCTACACACATACATGTGTACAGGGTTTTTACAAATTTGGAGCATTCTCTATATACAACTTTTAATGTATATTCAATGTCAATTCTCCCAACGTTACACATTCATCCAAAACATGAATCTTAATGGCCTCAGAATAGTCCACTGATGTGTTATAGGATTTGTTTACTCATTCTTGCTCTACGTGGCTACTTAGGTTACTTTTATTTTGTACTTTAGCTAGCAGAAATAATACTGGGATAAAGAAAAAGCTGGGATCACTTCTGAGATTATTTGGTAACAGGCCTGATATATGAGACTAAACCTTCATAGAGATGGTACGCTCTCATCAAGGGTGTGAGTGTCTATTCAACCATAACTGTCACTAACCCTGATATTGGCTAGCAAGAAGAAAGAAAATGTATTGTCTACCATAATTCAGATAGTTTTCTCACACAGTGAAATCAACTCTTTTAAAAAGGAATTATTTTGCCCAAGTATTTGTACTTATAACCTCTAATAATTGGAATTTATATAAAGTCAATATCTTTAGAAATGCTTTTGTCTCTTCTACCTTTAAAACATATACCTTGGGTAGCCTCCAAGTATTTTTACAGTTTATTATGCAGAATAACTAAGTTTTAAAATTCTGTAAGCACAATTTTCAGAGTATTTATAAAAATATATATGCGTTTTTTCAAACATAAACCCCTTTTTAAAATGCCACACACATTTCTTGTGGAGTACATGAAGCATTTTTAATGAATCCTATGCTTTGTTTCCATTAATTTTCCTAAATATCCTATTAGGATTATTATATAATTTGTGTTTCTATCTGTGTGTATAAAATCAGATAATAGCATATAACATTAAAATTGAACTGGTCTAGAAGTTGGGGAGTATTTTTGCCTATCCAAATTGATTTATTATCTCATGTATCAGATTGCCAATAAAGTTAGAATTGTCACCTAAAAATCTCTTGGGACTTTCATAATATATTCTCCTTGGTTTTGAAATCTTCGAATGGAAGATAGCTGTAACATAACTATTAAAATTAATATTTTAAGGAATGAACAGTTTATCTTTCTCTCTCCTTGTTTCTAAATAGTCTATTTATATCACCTAACAATTGAAACAGATATATCACTATCTGTTTAATAATTATTAAATTAAAATTGAGTTAGACAAGAGGAAATGTCATTTCACTTTGGAAATAGCAAGCTACTACCTTTTGAATATGTAAATTATTACCTTTAAGCTTTTTTTAAAGGAAACAAGTAGGTTAGGGATAGCCAACTGCTGCACTAGCAAAATTTATACCTTTTGAAAGGCTGTCAACAGTGCCAGAATGAAAGTCCTAAAGTACAAATGATCTAGTTATATCTAGAAAAATCATCAGACAACAACCTTGTTCTATCACTCTTGCTTGAGGGTTATCCTTGGGGGCAGTCATGCATTTTCCCAAATGATCAGATGATTAGTTAAGTGCTAAATACTACCCTAATGTTACACTTTATATTTACATTTAAGTTTCCGGTTTTATTTGCTTGTTTGTTTATAGAAAATTCTAAGCACTAGCAGCTAATTCAGATCAATGTTCACATCTCATAACATCATAGACAATCCAAACACTAGACTTTTGCTAACCTTGATCAGAAACATTTGAAATAGTAACATCAAAATACCGTCGTTACCATCCAGCCCACAGCTTTTCTCAAGTTTTCAAGTAACTTTCATGGTGGATGAAGTAGAAAAGGCAATACAGGCAGGGTTAACAGAGGTTATATAAGAATCACAAGCAGAAAAGGAGATAGCAAAGTAGTTCTACACAATTTGAAGCAGATTCAGTTTGACTAATCACTTTTTATCAGTCTCTAATCTGTTCCCACTCTGACAAGAATGAGAAATACAGTCTAGCAGATTTTTAAAGTGCCTTTCAGTATAACTTTAAATAGTATGCTATGATAGATGGGTTCCAAATATCTCCTAGCTTGCAGGTCTTTTGCAATGAGATTTTGCTACTCCTCTCATCAGGAGGCAGAATCTCTTTCTCCTCCCCTTGAATCTGGATGTCCTTATGACTTACTTTAACCAACAGAAAGTGGCAGAAGTAACAATGTGTGGCTTCCAAAGGTAGGCTTTTGGAGACATTGTAGTCTCTGCTTTTCCACTTTTGGATGCTCTTTCTTAGATTGCTGTCTTAAGGCTGTGAAGCTTTGAGGAAGCCCAAGCTAACCTCCAGCCGTCAGGTACGGATGTGAAAGTTGGACCACAAAGAAGACTGTGGGCTAAAGAATTGATGCCTTTGAACTGTGCTGTTGGACAAGACTCTTGAGAGTCACTTGGACAGCAAGGAGATCAAACCAGTCAATCTTAAAGGGAATCAACCTTGAATCCTCAATGGAAGGACTGATGCTGAAGCTGAAGCTCCAATACTTGGGCCACCTGATGCAAAGAGGCGACTTATTGGAAAAGACCCTAATGCTGGGAAAGATTGAGGGCAGGAGAAGGGGGCAACAGAGGATGGGATAGTTGAATGGCATCACTGACTCAATGGACATAAACTTGGGCAAACTCCAAGAGATAGTGAGGGAGAAGAAGGCCTGGCAGGCTGTAGTCCACGGGCTCGCAAAGAGTCAGACATGATTTAGCAACTGAACAACAACAAAGGTAACCTTGTGGAAATGCTATGTACAGGAAAGGCTGGATATCCCTGCTCCCAGCTGATCTACTAGCTAGAAGCAGCCACTAGTGACTGCAGGTGAGACAAGAGGGAGAATCATCTTATTAATCCAAACAATCAAAGTTGTTGTTGGCAGGATTTGGTACCAAATATTGAGGTTTTTCAATACAATAGATAATTAAAACATACACTCTTCCACTGTAGCTCACAGAGCAGTTTTGAAAAAGCATTTATAAAGCTAGCAACTGTAATAACTTTGCTGGTCATCTAGTCTAGGTTAATAACTTACATAGGGTACAGGCTTTTCCCATGTAACCAGGAAGACAGTCACAGGTTCCAGTTTCTTTGTTGCACTGACCTCCATTCTCACAGGGTCCACAGAAGAATTGGCATGCTGGTCCCCAGAGGCCATCAGGGCAGGCTTGTAAAATAAAACGAGAAAGAAAGAAAGGAGCTATTTATTACCACCTTGGAATAAATCTCAAGGTGGTCCCAGATTTCTGCTGTTGCCTAAGCGAGTAGGAAAATGTGTGTGTGTGTGTGTGTGTGACTGAGCTGCAAAGAAAGAAGCATTCAGCATAGCTCCTAAGGATTTATCACGCTTCCAAAATATTCCATGAAGAAATCAACATGAGGCCATATCTTGTCACTTTGGAAACACACATACAGAGGCTGGCTTTTTGCTGAAAACGTGGTTTCTCAGACAGTAACAATGGAAGCAATTTTGATGTATATTTTTGGAGGCAGTTGCACAGAACATGATCTGAAATGAGATGTAATTTATAAAGGAAGCTTGGAAGGTGCAGTGCTTGGGATGTGTTCCACCTGAACCCTCTTTTCCCAGTGTTTGCTTATTTTCTAAGCCAGAATAATCATTCCAGAGGTTTGTAATTTCTGTGTTTTATAAGACTGTGCAATGTATAAGGGGGAGACAGAGAGACGTGCTGCTTTGTTGAATGTTCTTGAACTAGAAAAGGATGGCTGATACTGCAGGGACCACTGAGGGCTCAGTTAGAGGTTTCAGTCTCCACTGAAACCACTGGAATTTGAAACCTGGTGGATAGCATGCTTTTAACACAGGGAAAACAGTGAGACTTTCTTAAACATGTGATAATTATAGAAAGTTACATAAAACCAAATTTGGCTATCAAGTATCTTCAAGTCTTGGGCAGAGCTTCTGAATAACAGAATTATTATTATTTTAGAATGTTCATACCATTCTTGGCTATTATCTATTGATCACTTCTTCTGTGCCAAGCATTTTACATAAATTAGCTGACATTTTCATAAAAATCCCTATATGACATAGCAACTTTATCTCCACTTACATAAGAAACTAAGACTGGGAGAGGTTAAGTGACTTTTTCTGGGTCACGGTTAATAAGTAGCAATGTCAGTATTGGAATCCAGAACTGGCTTTTGAAATTGGTTTTCTCAGTCACTACACCCAACTTCTGTGATGATACTACCAGTACTCAGCACTTTTCATGTCAATTAACCGGCTCTTAGGGTTCCATCAGTGTTCAAAATTTCACCAATATGGAACTAGCCTAAGAAAAATCGGTCCTTTTAATGGTGACACAAAGGCTTAACAGGCCTCCTTAGAGACTCAAGAGACTTGCTGGGCCAGAGTCCTCCATAGTCAAGTCTGTTTGCACCTGAGGTCCAAAATACGCCAGGCTACAAACTAATCAAAGCAAGGCAAAGACGCTGATTTTTTTTTTTTTCCCTCTCTCTCTTTTTGCTATTTCACAGATTAGTGTAGAAACCAGCTCTACTGCTCTTAAAAGTCATCACTGATGGGCTAAATAAGGCCCGGTGCTGATTATGGAGAGCACTGTTCATTAGTGCCATTGAAACAATTTTAGTCTTTAATTAACCATACATCTGCAATCTAGACACAGGTCTGGAGTCAAGATTTTTAAAGATATGCCTGGCTCTAGGAGCACTTGGGCTACTTCACTCTTTGAAAAAAGAGAAAGAAGAACAACAGGCCTGATTTTCATCATGAACAACACTTGGAGAGCTTTTCTTGCCTTCATTTTAGCTGCCAATCATCGTGATCCTGTTCACTCGCTCCAGTCTGAGTCATAATTTCATTTTGTGGTTAGACAAAAATATCAGAATTGGACAAAGTTATCTGATTAAAAAATAATATGTTTTCCTGAGCCTATGGTGACCTCTCTATTTTGCTGATTTACATATACTTTCAACTCATTTTCCTTCACAGTGGGAATCTCAAAAGCATTTTCCAATATAGTATATTCAGCAGTTGCTTTGAGAAAATGTTATCAGAATAAATTAAATTTACCCAGGTGTGTATATATGATATTGTCTCCCATGTGTTGACTTCTAGGGTACAACTTCTCTAGTAGGGAAATGAATGAGGGGCTGACTCATAAAATCAGTTGAAGCAGAAGGAGGTTTAGGTATTGGAATGGGACCCACTCTTATACCACGTTCAATGCATTTGTATAATGTCAGCCTCTGTTCCCTCATGTTCTCTTCCTCATTACCTAGAAAGTCACAGTCCAGCTGCATAAAAAGCCCTAATCTCTACAAAATCTTGTTTACATACTCTAGTTCCACAACCAGGTCCATAACCACAGGTCAACCCGGAAGACCCTTATTCCATTTCAGTCAGCTTGGACAAACCCTGCATACCCTGTGAAGATGATAATGTAAGGGCGACGTGTAATATACAAGAGTCAAGGACAACCTTCCACCCCAGGCCCAGCCTCTGTAAGTGAACCCAAGAGTATGACGGTTTCCATTCAAATCTATTATCGCCTCCTGATTTTAAACAAGGTTGTTTTGGATCACTTCACAGGCAAAAAGTACACTTATCATTAGTTGTAATAACTGTACTTATATGTTCAGACCTGCTATGTGCTAAAAGGAAATAAACACTGTGATAACTTCCCCTAAATAAAATAGTAAGAACTGCTTAATTCATAATGTATAATACGAGAAAAAGAATAAACAGAATAAAGAATAAAGAGAAAAAGAATAAAAATTATTGAATCATATTTATATATTTATTTAAGAAAATATAGTAATTATTGAGCAACCTCTATATGTCCAGATTGTTTTAGTAGTCTGGGGATACTTTGGTAAAAAATAAATAAATAGCTACCCTTCCTTTGTTGGGACTCAGCTTCCAGCAGAAAGTGTGTAGGCAATAAACATTAGACATAATAATAATTAGAAAATACAGTATGTTAGATGATGGTAAGCACGTTGGAAAAATACAAAGTTCAAGGAGACTTGCAGGTTGCAATTTTGAGTAGCGTGGTACTGACAAGATTCACTAAAAAGGTAACACAATCCAATTTGAGAAAATAAGACAGCCATGCAGATGCCTTAGGAGAAGCATTCCATGAGTCCACAATCCAGAGAGAGCTGTTACTAACATCTTGGAATACCTTTTTCCAAATTTTATATGCACCTACACATGCATGTATCTATACATGTTATTTATCATTGGAATTATGCTGCACACAAACTTGTATTTATAGATTTATAAAGAAATTATTCACAGAGATTTCAGAAAGGAGCACACTAATAATCATGTTTAAAATTTTCAAAATGCTTCTATGTTTCCACTGCATTTGTTTGAGGTGTCCAGGTTTAGATGTAAAGAAAATGATTCTTTCACTCTGAAAGTTAGCAGCCCTTACTTGATTAACTCAGCTCAAAGAAGTGATTGGCCAGCTCTCATCTTCTTAGGATAAGATTCTCTGCAATGTGATCTTTCGTTCCTTGCTCAAGCCAGCAAGAGGACAGCTAACATCACAGGCTAAGAAGACAAGATTAAATGGCTTTATTGCCCTCCCTGTCTCAGTTTCCTCACCTGCAAATGGGGGATTGATAAAGTTTTCTGATTTCCCAAGGACCTGGGTGGGGTGGAGTAACTAATTAATGATCGGAGGGTGCTAAACCAAAGCTGAGCATTGTTATTAGAGAAGAAAGAAAATTTATCATCCGATTGTACCTCTCTGGCATCTGTTGCCTTGGTAACCAGATTTGCAGGTGCAACTGCCATTTCTGGCACTGCATTCCAGGGTGTTCTCCTCCACGCACTGACATTCTGAAGAGCAGCCAGCTCCGTAGACCCCCTTGGGACAGTCTGCAAGCAGATTGAGGCAAAGCGGTCACCTGAAATCCATGCTTTGTTCCTTTTACATTGTGAGTGCACAGGCATGTAGTTCTGTGGGGCCTGATTATGGGAAAAACAAGGGGATCATCCTGGCTGCCAAAAAAATAGGGAAACAAATGTCTTTCAAATCAAGCAATTCATGTGCTTTTTGGCAACTGGATGTGAACAGTGAAGCCTGAACTACTTAAAAGGCTTTGGTGCTTCTGGGAGAGAAATTGCTTCTCAATGTGCTCCATTGGTGCCTGTAGTTTATATTCTCCAAAGGCTGCTGACGCCTGCCAGGCCCCATATCCATCGTTTCGCAGCTTGGCAATGATAGACAAGCATTGACGGGAAGGCTTGCCATTGTTTTCATTCCCTTTCATTATATGGTAATCTGCAATAATTCTACATCATGTAGATGACCCAAAACCTTCATCCTGACAGCACCATTATCTTGGCCACATCTTTGGCAAATGGTGCCTCCCTTTCCTTCATCATTTTCCCCGTGCTGTTGAGTTTTAGGTATGCTAGTCAGCACAGGAATTCTAATTTGAGAAAGTCCCACCTTTGCATTCAGGAAAACGTACCATTATCTTAGTTATCTTTTTGAGGAGTTATAGTGCTTCAATTTCTTTTCCAAAATATAACTGACAATTTTTTTTCTCCCACATTAGAGAGTCTAAGGGACTCAAATAAAAGATCTTTCAAGTGCCCTCCAGGCTCAAATTGTATTATATACCTGCATAGGCTTTGCTGTGGAAAACTGCTTGGTAAGAACAAAAAAACCACTTGACTTTCTGATAGATGGAAATTATGAGCATCTGCTAATTTGTGCTATTATTAGCAGAGGTAATCTGAAGTGGTGGTTACAATCCACCACGGAGGGTGGTCTTTGTCTCAGTTACCAGGGACAGACAGAGTTACCCCTTAAAGCAGAACAGAATTATCAACAGGGCCCCTTTTCACTGTTAATAGTATCCTGTTTGGATGATACCTCCTCATCCTTCCTGCATCTTCTAAGTGTTGAGTTTTTTCCTAGACCCACCAACCCCTAGCAGCTTTCAGAGCTACTGTCTTCCTTGAGGTGGACTTCTTGCCCACTCTCCAGTGCTCATTTTCCTAGACTGGTTTCCAGGCCCTACTCTTTCTGGGTCAGCTTGCAGAACAGAGGATCAGTGGACAACTCATACCACGCAATACTTAAATGTGACAATTGAGTATATTAAGAACATAGTACCGGGGAAGGAAAAAAAAGGAAAAAGTGGAAGAAGAAATCTTTTGTTGGCAATCTAGCATTTTCTCCGGGTTTGCCATGCATTGAAACATGTCCTCCAAAAATGCACATGTTTAAGTACTTCCTCCTAGTACCTCAGAATGTGACCACATTTGGAAATTATGTCTTTGCTGATATAATTAGTTAAGGTGAGGTCATATTTGAAATTGTGCTGCTGCTGACATAATTCATTAAGATGAGGTCATATTGAAGTGGGCTGGACTTATAGTCTGATATGACTGCTGTCCTTATCAGTAGGAGAAATTTGGACAGGGGCACTCACAGAGGGAGAATGCCATGAGAATATTGGAGTTCTGCTGTCACAGTTAAGGAGGGGCAGGAAGCTAGGGGAGAGGGGCCTGACGCTGTTCCCCCCCTGGTGCCTACAGAGGAATGTGGCCCGCCAGCACCTTGATCCCGGACTTCCAGCCTCCAGAACTATGAGGCAATACATTTCTGTCGTTTACAACACTCAATTCGTGGTACTTCACTGTGACAGGACTAGAAAACTAATGTAGGATTGCACATTCAGGCCTCTTAGGGCCAGGCAAATGGCATTAATAAATGAAGCCTCAAGTCTGAGCAGTAAGAGTCCTGAAGACCTGGAATGTGCATGTTTTTTCTAAAGAGGATCACATTCCAAATGCTAACCACCATTGCCACCACCACCATCTGCTTTTTAAACTTTTGAGCAGATGAGTTATGATTTGAATGTTTTTCACCAAAATATCTGATATTAGCTTATGAAAAGTTCAAGAATCATTACTTTAAAATGTGGTGAATCCTCTTACCTTGGAACAATAACGGAAATGATGCTATCTTTGTTTCTAGGTTTGTTCTAGGAGGTGTCCAATGCTTTGGGATACACCATCAGCACCTGCATTGTTCTCATTTACCCATGTCTTCTCCTCTTTGGTTCTCTGTTCCTTGTCCATACCTTTTCTCATGCTGTTGCTGTTGACTGCTATCATGTCTGACTCTTTGTGACTTCATGGACTGTAGCATACCAGGCTCCTCTGTCCTCCACTATCTCCTGGAGTTTGCTCAAATTCATATCCATTGAGTCAGTGATGCTATTTTAACCATCTCAGCCTCTGCTGCCCTCTTCTCCTCCTGCCCTCAATCTTTCCCAGCATTAGGGTCTTTTCCAATGAGTCCGCTCTTCCCATTGGGTGGTCAAAGTTTTGGAGCTTTGGACCCAGGCTTGTTTTTCAATGAAGCCTTCACTGGCTCTCTTATTGGAGAATTCACTACTTATTCTGTTTTTAAGGGGTATGCCTTTTCCAAAATAGATAAGGTCCATGGACATTCAACTAAAAATACAACGTAGGACTCTAAAAGGTCTCTGATATTTTAAATAGGTCATGGTATTACTGAGGTTCACTCAGGAAGGATTTTCAAAGGTGGGACTATGGAATAGGTGGGAGAGTGAGGTGCAGACTGTTTCAGGTTCACAAGGACTTGCACAGTCTCAGGTGGGATGTTAAGGTGGGCACCCAGAGCTGTCCCAGTAGGAGAGAGCTTAGAAGTTACTGATGAGCGGAAACACGTACTGGTGATTGTGTTTTCTTGCACCTTTGGCAGTATGTAACTGCTGGTCACAAATGCAAACTGAACAGCATGATTTAGACATTTTAGGGAATTTTCTTTTGCACTAGAACTCAGTGTATTGGACTTTTGATGTTTAATTTCCATAAAGTGTGGAATGTCCACTTAAATGAACTATTAACATCTTCCTCTCAATAATTAAGGTAAATGCTAACTAGGAAAAAGACTTCAGAATATGTTTTTTCACTCATCAAAATATAGATTCTATAATGTAAGGAGGCTAAATAAAGACTAAAACAAAAATTGTGATATGTATATAATATGACTGTATAAAATACACTATGCTTTTTACTTTCTTCCTTTGTCTGATGTAAAGAACAAAGATGTGCTGCTCACCATTTCGTTCCACAAGAGTTAAGTCCTAACCCATTGAAGCTGCTTAGGAACAGTAAACTCTGAGAAATTCAGGATGAAAAACAGGATGAGGCACTCTGTGCTTTGGATAAACATGCCCTTAGATGGTTAGATGCATATCTCAGGAAGAATTTCAAAGAGCCAGATTCTTTTGTCAACATGTTTATATATGTTGATATATATGTTTATATATATATACACACTCTCAGACATGACTTAGCAACTGAGCAACAACATACATTTTTTTAGTAGAGTCTTATTTTTTTTTAAATTACCTTAAAATATTTACAGAGAGATGGATTTATATAACTCGGTGATAACACTAAAATTGTACAGGGTATTTCATATTATTGCACTTCCTCCTTAATAACATATAAGGCATTTTACTTTACATAAATAAATAATAATGTATAATATCACACATCAGGTGTGGCACCAATTAAGTCAACCCTAAAATTAGATGAGATGAGTATGGGCAGCTAGTGTGTGCATGTGCACTCAGCGCTTGTCATGTCTGATTCTTTGTGACCCAATGGACTGTAGTCCACCAGGTTCCTTTGTCCATGGGATTCTCCAGGCAGGAATACTGGAGTGGATTGCCATGCCCTCCTCCAGGGAATCTCCCCAACTCAGGGATGGAACTCATGTCTCCTGCATCTCCTGCATTGCAGGTAGATTCTTTACCCACTGAGACACCTGGCAAGCTCAAGGGAGGATACAAATATATATAAATAAATTGGCTTCTCCCTTACTTCCTTGGAGCAGTTTCCTCAGAAATGAGTGGCTGTCTCCTGGGCTCTAGTCTTCAGCAAGACCTTATTTAAAACTTAAGTTCACAACTCTAATGCTGGATGTTTCTTTAAGTTGACATTAAATATTTTCAGTAATTTTCTGAGCTTTCTTGCTTCACACACAGAGAAAATTTAGTGCCATAGACTTACTCAAATGACAAAACCTCCCATAGCGCCCTGGCTCGCACACACAGGCTCCATATATCCTGTGGCAATGGCCATTGTTGGCACAGTTACATTTCCTTTTGCAATTCTTCCCAAAGAATCCTTTTGGGCATCCTGGAGGGTAGAAAGACAAACAGAGTGAATATTTGCGCACATGCAAACCTCACTAGAGCTATTGTTATGTAAGATAAGGAGACTGCAAAAGGTAAGATGTTTCTAATCTGATTAATCAAGAGACTAAAGAGATCTTTTAAAAACTACCCCTATGATTTTATATCATTTGCCCCAAATTCTCCAATGACTTGCCATTGCTGTCAGGTTAAAAACTCCAAATGTAACAAGAAATGAGCCCCTGTGCTGGCTGACCTTACGTTGCACTAGTATCTGCCTGACTTAGGCTCCATCAGCAGATCCCTCTCAGGCACCCCTAAATCACCCCATTCTTTCTCCCTTGCGAGTGGGGTCACATGTGGCCCTCTGAGTCTGCAGCGCTCTTCCTGCTCTCTTGCCTGGCTTCATGTTTCCTCATTTTGCATGCTTCTGCTTAAGGGTCACTCTCTACAAGTCGTTCCTGGCTCACACAGTCTGCATGGCCCTCTTGGTTCAACCTCCAAGCACACGGCAAGATTTAACTTGAAATACCTACCAACATGTGTAACCTGTCTGCTTTGAACAAGACTATAAGTTCCATGAGGAAGGGCCAGGGTCTGTTTCATTTTTGTTTTCTTAACATATCATAAAGCCTGGCTCAGTGTCTTGCAACACTTAATACATATATTTGAATAAATGAATAAAAATTGGGGGATAAATAACTAGGGTGTGAGCATGAGCCTTCCTGCACCTCTCAGAGAGCAAACTAAACTTGGTTTTTCTATCTCCCCAGTTCTACAATCTGTGAAATCTAATAAACTCCCCATGATTTCTGGCAATCCCTGAAGACTTACATCTTCATGACTCTCTGCCTTCAGCTCCTGGGACTGTACGAGCAGTTTCTTTTTGTGTGTTTTATCAGCCCATGTAGAAAATGTGGTTTCTTGATTGGTTTCTATGAAAAATCCACACACAGCACTCACTGGATGGGTATTTTGTAAGTTTTTCGTGCATCATTTCTCCTCTCTCTCTCCTCTCCTTTCTTTTTCTGGTTTTTATCTCACATCCTCCCTGATTTGTCCAAAGAGCTTCATTTTCTTCTTTCTTTTAGTATGCAGAGCAAATAAATTATCACTCCAGCCCCTGTGTGCAAACCTGCACACACAAACTCAACGCTTTGCTCAGTGGATGAGACAAGGCTTTATCTGTATCAGGATTCATCCTGCTTGGATCACAGCTGGAGATTTAAGTACCACTTATTTTGTTCTGTTATGCATTTATCAGTCAAAGCAATTGTGTGCTCTTGTGTATACATATATATATATATATATACACACACATACAGCCCTTTATGTCTTCAGAAAAGCCCACCTTGAAAAATACAGACTCAGCTTTTATTCTATTTCTTATTAGAAACCTCAAGAACTTAAAGAGTTGTCTCACTAGGACCAGACATTCCTACCGTCTCCACAGGTTTTCCCATGAACCCCTGGGGGGCACTTGCATCGCCCAGTCAGAGGGTCACAGGTGCCTCCATTCTGACAATCACAGATGTCATCATACTCTCCCACACTGGTCTCTGGGGAACGAGCTATGAATAAAACAGTGAAGGTGAATATGCAGTGTTATACCCTCATTGTGACACAAATAGAGAGGGAAAAAAGATTGTCTATTAGAATTGATTCTCGGTAATTAAAATCTCTGTAACTTGCAGACGCAGGAGGAGTCTCTGGCCTGTTCATCATTCCTGGGGGAATTACTGATACAGGTAGTTAAAATGATGCTGACTAAAGAACTGCTAACAAGGTTTACATGCAAAATTTACCTTGCTCCTTAAACTCTTACCCTCACATTTTCAGAACTACATAAACATTTTTGTTGTATAGATGTCACTAACCCTAATGAGAAACAAATTGCATCTTCCATTTTGAAAAATAGGAAGAAAATGTAGGAAAGAAGAGCCATGTGTTTTTAACCAGAAATGAATGTAACTAAGACTATCTTGTGGATTCCAAGGTATTCTGCACCATCAAAAACTGATGAAGACAAGCAATAGTTTTCTTTGGTTTGCTGTTTTGGGGGGAAGTGCTTAGTATTCCATTAAAAATAAACACAGTGTGGAAAATGCCTATGATTTTAAGCTTGAGTAAGTACAGCTGTTGAGATAATTTCAGTAGCCATTTAAATTGACATTTTATCATCATTGGCTAAATACTATAAAACTACATTTTATTACCTCCTCTATCTACCCCCCCGTACACCATTCCAGATGCTAATACGGAAACTTGATTTCTAACTCACTTTTTTCTTTGCTTTCAAGCCTGTGGTTACTATGACAAGGAAAGGAACAGGAAAGGGGAAAAAAAGGAGTAATAAAGAAGTAAACTGGCAACAAACATGGTTGAGACTTGCATTACTAATTTACATGTAGTAACTCATTGAATTTTTATAGCAACTAAAGACTACACATTTTAAATATATATACATCTGGAAAATGAAGCTAAGAAAGTTTAAGTAGCTTGCACTGTATCTGGGTTACAGCAAGGCATCTACATCAGCACACCAACACTATCACTTGCTTCAGTTTAGTTCAGTCACTCAGTCATGTCTGACTCTGCGACCCCATGAATTGCAGCATACCAGGCCTCCCTGTCCATCACAAACTCCCGGATTTTACTCAAACACATGTCCATTGAGCCGGTGATGACATCCAGCCATCTCATCCTGTGTCGTCCCCTTCTCCTCCTGCCCCCAATCCCACCCAGCATCAGGGTCTTCTCTCCCACAAAAAGAATATGGTATCACAGAGTGTGTGCATGCATGTGAGTGCTCAGTCATGTCTGACTCTTTGCAACCCCAGGGCTAGGCTCCTCTCTCCAAGGAATTTTTCAGGCAAGAATACTGGAGTGGGTTGCCCTTTCCTAATCCAGGGGATCATGGATTTGCTAAATACTTCATTAACATCAAAGAGAGCATTTATCTAGAGAAGAAAACTTGAAACCAAACATGTCCCAAACCATAGTTGGATGATTTGGAAAAAGTCATGAATCTTCCCTTCCATGTAATACATAGTCCATTCATTTGTTATATGAAAATACTTTAGTCTTCTCTTTCTACTGGATAGATCCCTCAGAATAACAAAGAAGATAATCAATATGAAATCTCTTTAAAAGAAATGGAGTCCTAAAGTGTGCTGTTAAAATTAATATGTAGTAATTTTTTAGTTGTTTCCTTTGTAACTACTTGGAGAAATTCCTAAAACATCCAAGTAGACGTTTTCATTATAGACCAATAAAGATACTGGGTTAGAAGATCTAACCAATGGGAAAACTAACTTTCCAGATCCCTGAAGAAATTTTTGTATGTCTCTTGCTACATAAGAAGAGCTGGTACTCTTAGAAATATTAGTGATGAATGATTGGTCATTTCCATTTTTATAGTTTATAGGGGTTTTTAAGAAAATATCCTCACTCTCCCTTTTTGTTAAAGATTTAGTGATCATGCTTTTTTCCTTTCCAATTTGTATTGCTCTGCTTTAATTTTTATAGAAAAAAAAAATGAAAGAGCCAGAGAGGTAATGCAAAGAAGATATAAATTTCTGCTTTCAGGGCCAGACTGCCCTTTACAGGACCATGTGAACACTTAAAGAATCTCAAGGTTTTCCAAAACCAAAGAAGGGGTTTTTTCATTTTATCAGGAAGTTCATTTTCAACATTTGTATATTAACTTTGTGTCAGACATGTTTTATTCTCATGGATTTGCAATAGATTTCTACTTTTATTTCTCATGCTAACATGTTATGGATCAAGGGTGTGGAAGACACATATTTACCAATAAAATTTACAATAAGGGGTATGAATATTTACTTCCTAATAGTCATGCAACAAAATTGATTTGTGTGTGTGTGTTTAGTCGCTCAGTGGTATCCGACTCTTTTCAATCTTATAAACTGTATGTAGCCTGCCAGTCTCTGTCCATGGGACTTCCCAGGCAAGAATATTGGAGTGGGTTGCCATTCCTTTCTCCAGGGGATCTTCCCAACTCAGGAATCAAATCTGTGTCTCCTGCAGTGGCAGGCAGATTTTTCATCACTGAGCCACCTGGGAAGTCCCAGATTTATTTGATCCATTTTACATAGTTGACTATATCAAGTGGCCGATCAGTATAGCTGGATGTCTCAATACAAAGCTTCATTCATTCATGCACTGGAGCCTCCAATTTGGAAACATGTAAATAAGCTCCCAAGCTAGCAAGGGAAATAGAAGAGGAGCATAGCTAACTTGAATCTGATGGAGACAGACAGACAGACAAATAGACAAAGAGGAGAGAGAGAGGCTTTAAACCCACTAGATACATAAACGGCTGTTAGACTAGGGCCATCAAATAAAGCTTCATGCCATAAATGGCAATGGACAAAGATGGCAGTTTAGCAAAAGGCACAAAGCTGAAAAGTACAAAGCATTAAGTAGTGAGTAGTTTAGTTTGCTGGAAATAATAAGCTGGTCAGATCTGTGGATAAAAAGAGAGAAGGATTTATGAGGGCCTGATAATAGATGGTTGTCAGTGACTAGATTAGAAGTGTAAGCTTTATGTATCAGGAAATGGGACACTTCTGAAGCTGTTTGGGCAGCAGGGAGACAAGATCAGAGTGATGCTTGAGGAAAGTCCTCAGCAGTCTACCTAGTAATTCTGGGGAAACCACTTCACTATGTTATAATCCAGGTTTTGCTTCTTTTATATTTCATAACAGAAACAATATTTGTGCTCTTTCTTCCCATATTCAGGGGCTTCAAAAGAAAAATCTGCTCATACCATCTTCCAAGCCATTCACAAAGAAAACTCTTTTGTTAAAAAATTTATAAGAGAAATTTAAAAAGAGAAAAAGGAAATAAAGGTAGTCAATAAATTTGAGTTTTATTACTTGGCAGTTTTAGCACCTGCAAATATACCTCCCTTTAAAATATAAAGGAAAACATTTATTGGAGGTATTATTGTACAAATCACTGACATTATCTCATGAGAGGCTTATATAAAAATCTTAAAATTGTCATTGCCTGTACTTACATAAGTTTTAAAGAAAAAGATAAGAAAACACAAACAAAAAGGCAACAGTCAAGCAGTTCCACTAACTATACTTCATAACACAAATCATTTTATTTTATTTTTCTTCACGGGGAGTAGCTTGCCAGGGCCTAATGATTTATTTAAATGGAGGGATTTTTATAGGCTGAGGATATTAGGATCCTTTATTAACTTTCATGTTCAATGGATAAACAAGAGACAGCACATCAAGTTTCCCAGGGAACACAAAATTTCCCATTTTAATCACATGTTCAGTTTGAAACCTCAGTGCTTCACAGACATTCTTTGTGCACAACAAATAAATTGGTTTCCCATCCATATCAGCCATTAATCTTGTTAAAACATTTTGGGGAGAACACATGTAAAGAACTCATCACCAGTAGTTCACCAGCAGTAAAAGGAGAATTCATCACCCTCCACCAAAGCTCCAAAGTATTACTTACTTTCATTACAAAGAATGCCTCCCCAGCCATCGGGACAGGAACACCCACTCTTTCCTTCCTGGCACCGGCCTCCATTCATGCAGTCCTCACAACTCAAACTGCAGTCATGTCCGAAGGTGTGATCTAAACAAACTGGAATGAGATGCCGTTTTAGTGAACCCTACATGTACTATCTACATCACTGAAAATGGAGATGAAACCCTTTATTTACCCCAACAAATAAACATGCTCCTTGAGCACATTTTCTAGAGAATACAGAAAAAAATAATAAAGCCAAGAGATACCTTTTAAAACAAAGTTTGGAATGTAATCCCTAAAAAATATTTAGGATCTTTAAGAAAGTAAAAAAAAAAAGAAAAAAAAAGAGATTACCATTGATTTCTGAACACAGAAATAATGTTCCCGGCACTTTAGTGTATGTGTGTGTGTGTGTGTGTGTGTTTTCTTATAGGCTTTTTTATACAATTTTTTTTCTTTTTTTTCCCAGTAAGCCTTTTTACTGAGATTTAATATACAGGTAAAGAAATGCACAAAACTCAAATGTACCCTTCAGACTTTTCCCCCACATTGTCAACAACCCCATGTAAAAGCCTCTCAGATGAAGATAAAGATTATTACCAGCATCACAAAAAATCAAAGGTGATTTGATGACTCTTAATCATTAGCCTTACAAATTAAGCACCATTGTGATTTATACTGCCATGGAATATTTCCCCTTATTTTTGAACTTTATATGAATATAATCGTAAGGTATGTACTCTTTGGTATCAAGCTTCTTTCATTCAATATAATGTTTATGAAACTCGGCCATATTGTGGGTTCACTAGTTTTTAAGTTTTGCCCATTTCACAATGGGGTCTTTCAGATGTCCCAGTTGAAAGCCTGTCATGTTTAGTGAGGTTTCTCCACCTTGGCAGATTCTGAATTTCAGTCTGCCTCCTAGCCCCACAAAACTGCTGGTAACTGTGCTAAGCTCCTCACACTCTTAGTAGCTATCTATAGATTTCCTGGCTTCTCTGTCTGCACTGCCCATGCATCAGCAAATGGCTCAAGGAGAAATGTAGCACAGACTGTCCATCTCACTTGTCTGAATGTCTCTTCTCTCTAGACCTTGGCCCTCAAGTCCTAACTGCCCTGGTAGCCCTGAACTATTTCAGTTGTGACTTTGAGTAGCCCAAGTATCAGAAGCTTGATTAAGAAACATTAAAGCATTTCTATCTTTATGTAGATGCAATTACTGATGTTATGTTTGACCATCATATATAAACAAATCTTCATTTTACTGGAAGCATTCTAAGGCAATCATTAAGCTTTGATGCTCTGAAAATACAAGGAATACAGGAAGAACAAAAAGAGCAGTTCTGTCTTACAAAGAAAAGAAAAAGCAGCAGCAGGCTGGCTGCAAACTGTTACTTTTGAAAGAAGTTATGCTAATTTATTTTGATCAGAAGTGATTTGATGCTTGAGTTCTGTTGAGTGGATATATAAGAAAAACTGTGCACATTTGTAAAGATATTTTTTCCTGGTCCATTTGAGCATATTGAACCATTGGTTCTCTGCATTTTAAAATTTAAAAAGGATCTAGATTTTCAGGCTATTTGAAGTAAATTTTAACTATACAAAAATGACTTCTAGTTGAGTTTAAACTGTTAGAATTAAAAGGCCCCAATCCTTGTCTCCACGATGCTAATTCAAATATATTTTTCAACTCCATTTCACTGTATCAAATTTCCATCACCCTGCATCCCCTTGTCCATTCATACATACATAGCAACCCTTTATTGGCAAAGGGAAGAAAGATAACAGATGATGAATTTGATAGGGAGCTGTGAAGAAGTAATTTTGGTCCCATGTCTCCTGTCAATATCACATTAAAACACTTTTATTTGGCACTAAATATTGATAACAAAATTGTCTATAAAAGGAATTCTGTGAATTATCTAAAAATAGAGGGAAGGGGTGATTATAAGGAAACATGTTCATTTACCCACCAACACTGTGCAAATCAGTCAGTTCTTCTAGAATATCTTGTCTCTCTTCCTCATTGTCTTCATCTTCATCGGAGAGAGGCAGAGAGGGGGCCACATAAGGAAGCAGTTGAGGTGGGCTCTTGAATAGAAGACCCAGAAATCTCACAATGTCTAATTCTTCTTCTTCCTCTAGTTCATCATCTAAAGCTAAGACCACACAGAGAAATGCCTGGATTCCACATGCTGGTTAAAAGAAGGGAGAACTGAGCAAGTGTTGATGAGAGAAATGAGAAGAGTTTGAACCAGATAGCCAAGGCAGGGGGCAGCTGAAAGGTAAAAGTCTTTGAGAAGACCATTTCAAACAGTCTATTGTAAATGAAGGTGAGACACAGCAAGCACAGAGTGGAAACGACCACAGGGAGAATAAAGGGGAAAAGAAAAGATCTTAGTCTGTGAAGAGAGAAAGGGGAGGACAGGTTGATTTCAAGAATATATGGTCTCCGTGCTCCTGAAGAACAAGACAGGGCTGAAGTCATTTAGAAGAGATTTGATAGAATCCTTCACAGAGACTTACAGATGCAAGTTTTCCCATCACTTCCAATTCGGTAGCCTTCCTCACAAGAACACTCATAGGTTCCAACAGAATTGATGCATAGTTGGTCACAGATGATACTGACATCCAGACACTCATCCACATCTAGGAAAATTCAAACAATGCCTGCTCTTTGGTGTGGAGATAAAATAGACATTATGAACTCATGGGCATATTTGTCACCTCTATTAACCAATGACAAAGTACTGCTATACAAAACGTGTGTGTGTCTGTGTGCGCTGTGTGCTCAGACGTGTCTGACTCTCTGTGACCCCACGGACTGCGGCCCTCCAGGCTCCTCTGTCCGTGGGATTTCCCAGGCAAGAATACTGGAGTGGGTTGCCATTTCCTACTCCAGGGGATCTCCCTGACCCCAAATTCTTCCTCAAGAGTATCCTGCCAATTATTTTCCTTTTATTCATTTCCAAGTTTACCATCATTTATCTATATGCATAGACAATGTCTTTCTGAGATCTCGTTCATAAGATTTTGATGAAGAATTTAAAACTTACATAGTCTCAGGCTGTGTATCATTTAGCAGAATGTTCATTCGTTCTTGAATTATTCAACATCTATGGCAAAGCATTTACTCAATGCATAATTTTGTACATGATTTGTGGAGAATTTTAGAGATGGAAAAATCCTAGGTTTAGATCTCATACAACTTAGTGGTGTTAAACTCACATCCAAGCCCAGGCTTTGGTCAATGTGTTCATGATTCTAAAAGGTCATTTACGAAACTGAGTTTCTAGGCTGGCCTCAGATTGTAGATACCTTTTCCATTTGGATGTGTGTACCCAAGTATGTATATTCTCGCCATATAATCATCTCTTGGCTCACTCTGTTTAACAGCAGATGGTACATGAAATTCAATTTTTTTTTTGGCCCTGTTAATTGGATGGGAGGTGTAAGTAGTAATATGTTCTACTGTGTTTAGAATATATAGATATCATAGTTGTATGTTCTTCGTTGTTATCGACACTGCAAGGCTGGGGAGTTTGGCATCTATGTGAAGAAACACCTAGCATCCTCAACAGAATTTAAGAATTTGCTTCTCTAATCCAAGAAACACTATTTTCTCTGGGGCATTAAAGTCTTCATATGGAATTCGACTGTTATTGAAATAGATAACAATATTCTCATCTTTGATTTCAAGAAAAATATGGTTCAAAATAATGGTAATAATGACCACAAATAAACATTTAAAGATTATATATTTAGGGTAAACTTGGTAAAGTAATTTTTAGCAATGACTTATACGAGCCCTTCACAAAATTGTGAATTTACTAAGTTCAAACTCCTCTATGATAGGGGCCTTCCTGGTGGCTCAGATGGTAAAAAATTTGCCTGCAATGCTGGAGACTTGTGTTCAATGCCAGGGTCACGAAGATTCCCTGGAGAAGGGAGTGGCAACCTACTCCAGTATTCCTGCCTGGAGAATTCCATGGACAGAAGAGCCTGGTGGGCTACATACATGGGGTTGCAAAGAGTCAGATACGACTGAGTGACTAACAGTTTCACTTCACTTTCATTTTCATGATATTATAAAAATTTATCTGTCAGCTAGAAATCCTCTAAAAGGTAAGCAACAAATCAGTTAGAAAATTATAGAATAACTCATCTTGAAGTGTGCATTAGCTAGATTAACATCAGATATATAAAGGAATCTGATACTATGGCTCAAGAACTGGCAATCCTTTTGCTGCTGCTGTCTAATTAAAATGACTTTCAATAATCAACTCAGTTTCCAGTCAAGATTATCATAAGAAACTCCTATAGCATTACGCAATGGCTTGCTAGAATCTCTCACTTGCCTATGTGTATTAAGTTAGGTAAAAGGGATTATGAACCAATGAATATAAAAATAATAGTAATAGTAATAATAATAGCTACTTTTAGTTGAGTGATTTCTTGATGTCAATCACAGTAGTAGGCCCTTTACATTGATTATGTTTCTTAATTTATCCAGTAATCCCATAACTGTCTTCACTTTACTGATGAGGATTTGAGGCTCAGAGCACTTAGTGTCACCAAAGTTCATACAATAGTATGTGGCTGGACCACAGAGATCAAAGTTTCTTTAAGGTGAAAGCCTTTCTCACCCTAACCCTCTGCCTCAGATATTCCTCCATTGATTGCCCCATCACATCATGGATTTCATGTTAGAGCTCAGGAATTTACCATCACATCCACAACCATCAGAACTGATCTGAAAGCCTTCCTGACAACTGCATTAATAGCCTCCTGAATAGTTGATGCAGAACTGGGCACAGCAGGCTTCTCCAGTGTCACACTCATCAAGGTCTAAAATGGACGAAAGGACATTTTTGTTATTTAAGAGATAGGAATTTAATCCACCTATAGAGATGCTGATAAGCCCCACTTCTAAATTAAAACCATTTTACTAATTATTTTCTATTTCTCAGGCTACAGAGTACAGACACTGAATAAATGATAACACAAAAACAATGAGGCTTGCATTTGGATCAATGTTTCTGACATGCTTCTCCTATGCCTAGTGTTTATTTGAAAAGCATGTAAATAATCTCCAAATGCATTTAAAAGCACAGGAAAAGAGCTCTCTGCTATTTTTCCCGTTTAAACAGCAATCTGGCTAAATAAACAGAGAACCTGAAGAACAACAATTAAAAAAAAACCAGCTTGAGAAGCAGAGCTAAAATATTCCATTGAATGAATATTTAATGGCTACAAAAAGGAGGCAGTCTTAGGCCCCTATGTGTGTGTTCTTCTAAGAGCTTTGGATGAAAGAATGCTCCCAAAGAAAAGAATTCACAGGACTGGGAAGACAAGTGGTTAAAGGCAATTCAAAGAGAGCACAGACAAGAATCTTAAACATTATGTGTTAAATTACAGAATATTTCAGGGCATTTGCTTGAACTTTTCAATGATACATTGATGGGGATGAGTTTTTACTATAATCGGTGACACTATTACCCTGGAGTGTCCTATCACATAGACAGTTTTCTAAATTATGATCTTTAAGTCTCCTTTGGCACTGTCCTTCTAGAATTCTACAATCTGCCATGTATCTTCCTTTATTTGCCCTAGGGAAAATAAAAATTAATCAGAATAGGTCAAACTGAAACCTTTCAGCAAAGGATAATCTATTTATCCTAAGTTTTGAAATAATCATTTGTAATATATTTGGTTAAGGGGTAGAACAGACTCATCGCCCACTGCTAGACATCTGGAAATTGTGTGGTCAGGGTTTTTGGCTATAGGCCTTCAATTCTACCCACTTTGTTGAGCTGTTAAGTTGGGTGGCCTGTCAGTGCTGAGTTTACAAAAATCCCTTTGCTCCATAACTATGTGAACATATATAAAAGATCAGTGTCTCAATTAACCTTGGAAAGGGTATCAATGTAAGAAAAGGCAGACAAGAGAAAGGAAAGAAAATGCAATCAATTAACCATGGTTAGGGGTCACCATAAAATATCTAAATTAAGGTCATTTGGACACAAAACATTCTTTCTCCTGCAAAATGTCACAAGCAGTTCTACTCACAAAATTCTAGATGATATTTTTTTCTCTTACATTAAAACTTCTGTTATCTTTTGGATTACATAGCATGGATACAGAAGGCAAAAAACTTAAAACTTCAGTTTTTTATCTAAAACATTGCTTTTAAAATCTTTTTAATCTATTTTTTTAAATTAGAGGATAATTACTTTACAATATTGGATGGTTCTTGCCATACATCAACCTGAATTCACATTAGGTATACATATGTCCCCTCCTTCTCGAACCCCTCTCCCACCTCCCTCCCCACCCTATCCCTCTAGTTTATCAAAGACCATGGGCTTCGCATTCCCTGTTTCATAAACTGAATTCCCACTGGCTATCAATTTTACATATGGTAATGTATTAATGTATATGTTTCAATGCTATTCTCTCAAATATTCCCACCCTCTCCTTCCCCGACTGTGTTCAAAAGTCTGTTCTTTATCTCTGTGTCTCCTTTGCTGTGCTGCATGTAGGAACATCATACCACCTTTCTAGATTCCATATATATGCATTAATATACAATATTTATCTTTCTCTTTCTAACTTACTTCACTCTGTGTAATAGGCTCTAGTTCATCCACCTCATTAGAACTGACTCAAATACACTCTGTTTTTATATCTGAGTAATATTCCATTGTGTTATATGTACCACAACTTCCTTATCCATTCATCTGTTGATGGACATCTAGGTTGCTTCCAGGTCCTAGCTATTGTAAATAGTTGCTGCAATGAACACTGGGGTTAAAATATTACTTTTTAAGTTTTGTGGGGAGGAGTGGTTTCTTTTTTTTTTTTAAGCCTCATTTTATTTTTATTTTTTTTTCCATTTATTTTTATTAGTTGGAGGCTAAATACTTTATATCATTGCAGTGGTTTTTGTCATACATTGAAATGAATTAGCCATGGATTTACATGTATTCCCCATCCCGGTCCCCCCTCCCACCTCCCTCTCCACCCGATCCCTCTGGGTCTTCCCAGTGCACCAGGCCCGAGCACTTGTCTCATGCACCCAACCTGGGCTGGTGATCTGTTTCACCCTAGATAATATACATGTTTCAATGCTGTTCTCTTGAAACATCCCAAGAGGAGTGGTTTCTTATTTCAAGATTCTTTAAAAAGTCTTCTCATATACCACCAGAGCCTCTAAATATATACATCTCATGATTCCTTATTCTATTTAGCAAGAAGCACAATCACATCACATTAATTGGAAAAATTAGTTCTTCAATCTATCATTTTATGATCCATTTTGGATTCTTCTTCTATTATAATTCCTCTGGGGCTATTTTTTGTCTCATGTATAGAACTCATTAGAAATCCCATGCTTCCTTTCTTAAAATGCCCTGACACTTCAAGTCTTGTATCACTTGTTTTCCTAAATTTCTTGATTCCTTCTCAGATCTTTTTTCGGTAAGATCTTATTTTTAACTCCTCTGCCTCTCTGATGATTATATTTTTCCTACATTGGCCAATATGCCAAATATTACAACACTGCAGAACCTACATTGGCCAATATACCAAATATTACAACACTGCAGAGAAATTCACCTGTAAATTTAAAAATTTAAATTTTTAAATTTAGCCCTGATCAAAAATAAAGAATTTTAAATTTAGCCCTGATCAAAAATAAAGAATCAATTATAGCAAGTAAAACAATTAAACATTTCAACTATGACTTCAGAAAAGCATCAAAAGTAAACCTTGAAAGAACCTGATCTTCTGTATCTGTCTTCCACACAGTCACTGAATAAAGCACCAAAGAGTAGAATAATTTTTTTTCTGATAACTATCAGTTGTTAAATTTAGTGAACTTATTGCTGGTGAGACACTTGTGTTTTTTGTGTAGCTGTCTTTCAAACTGTGTTAACACATCACTAGGTTTTATCCTTAATAAATGCTTCCATTTAGGCAAGACTGACCATTTGCAGACTAGATGACTTATCTTCACATTTATTTGTATGTTCTCATGTAAAAAGAAGTTGATTCTAAAATAAGCTAAAAAGAAAATTATTTCCTCTCATGCACGAATGTTTTTACAAAGCGTTCATGCCCGTAATCTGTTCTCAGGCAAGTAGGCAGACTATGTATATGCACACTCCAAACAAATCATTGCCTTTACTCTAGAGAATATTTGGTTTTTAGGAATGAGTGTTATTTATTGGAAATGAAATAAACTTGAGCCATCAACTAAATAATGTCGTCATGTTGACTGCTGAAATCTCATAAATATGCAATTTTCTATATTTTGACCCTGGCAGATGCAATTTTTTCTGGCTGTAAATATGAACTTTACCAAATTGTACTTTTCAAAGAATCAGGAAAGATATCAAATTATAAGCTGCAAACAAAAGGCTTAACAAAATTCCAGTTTCCCTTACCGAACAGTCACAAGGAAAGGATAAGAAGGAAGGGAGGGAGGGAAGAAGGGTGGAGAGAAAAAAGAAAAGAAGCTCTTTTTTCCAGAGATCCAAATGTTAGCAAGGTAGAAATCTATAAGCATATTTTTCATTACATAAGAAGGTGCAAGGCAAGCAACTGGCTTCATTAAGCTAACCACTGTAGACTCTGAGAAAAATGCAGAAGATGATGTTGGATTAAGAAATAACAAGCAAAGACATTGTTTTGGTTTAAAACTTTATGAAACCCAAATACTTTAAAATCCCTTAAAGTTCACTCTGTCACATTAGTGCCAAACTAAAAAAATCCCAACAACTTAGGTTTTTGAAATTCACCTCTTCACTTATGGTATTTCAATTTATTTTGAACCACACTGAATAGCATTAGATGGTCAATGGTTTTTTTTTTTTTTTTTTGGTACTCATAATTTTTAAGAAAGGTGATATAAAATATCACAAAAGAAAACATGCAAATAGGGTATCCTAATTCTCAAATGATGACAAGTTGTTTTAGAAGCTTGTAGGTGCTCTCAGACCCAGGGCACATAGTAATTTAGTTTGATGTTCATGTTCAGTAGTTCAGTTGTGTCTGACTCTTTGTGACCCCATGGACTGTAGCCCGTCAGGCTCCTCTATCCATGGAATCTTCTAGGCAAGAATAGTGAAGTGAGTTGACATTTCCTTTTCCAGGGCGTCTTCCCAACTCAGGGATCAGACCCGAGTCTCCTGCGCCTCCGGCATAGGCAGGCGGATTCTTTACCACTGTGTGACCTGGGAGTCCCCACGTATTGCAGAGTGACTTGTGCGGACACCTGGCCAGGCCGAGGTCTGTAAGGTCTGTAGGAAACTTCACCTTGGGAAGTCTGCTATGTAAATAAAGGAAAACACGCTCTTTCATTCAAGAGCTTTTTAAAAAATGCAACAGTATACCAGGCAAGTCTGAGGCCTAATAGCTGCTTCTAACAATAGGGAGGCTGAGAAAGAGGGATAGAGTGATGTTGGGGAAATTTCTTGCAGGAGTAGGAAAACTAGAGATGCTCGCTCTCCCAATTTTTGGTAGATATTCCTTTTTCTCAGAAGTTCTAGATTAAACATTTCACTATGAAGCAAGCTGGGGTGGAATTTACCCTTCTCATTGTCTCCTGTGATATGTTTTAATAATATGTTGAAAAAGTTATCTTTTCCGATGGCTTTGAGCTGGGTTTTCCAAAGAATAACATCTTCTAAAGTTTGCTTTTGTACTGTAGCTACTTGCCATGTCAAAGTTGAACATGTACCCAAATTAACACCAAGTTGAGAACCAATGAACATGATTTGCTTCTGCTTGAGGTGGAAAGAATTAGGATGGCAGCATTTGTTTTTTGAATTACAAATTACATTAGATGGTTAGATAAGCCTTGGAATATTTTCCAGAAAGAAAACTGTTAAGTCACATATATCACTAATAAGTTTTAAATCTCCTTTAACTTCAAAGTAAGTATCTTGAAACACTATGATATCTTAGTAAATAAATATTTCTTTTACATTATCCAGTAGCCAAAAACACTGTTCATTTTACTTGTAGTTTGAGATTTGTGGCTACATTACAGCACCAAGTATTAGAGAAGAAAGGGCTAGATGAATCCAGGGCAACCTCTGAAGGAAGATAGCATCCACCATACATTACCTATGCATGTTTTCTCATCTGAATCGAGCCGGTATCCATGGTTACAGGAGCATGGGGCCCCCCAACTGCATGTTCACAGTGATGGGAACAACCACCATTGTTCTTTTCACAGCTATTGACAATTTCCAATTCAACCCCTTTCCAAAACAAGCAAAGGGAGCATTATTAGCATAACAATAGAGAAATATGAATACATGGCAATAATGGGTACACTCTCTCTCTGTTGGGAAGAGGACAAACTTTATTGGAAATTTGTCAACACTCTGAGCATATAAAAGTTTGAGAACTAATAAGCATTGTACATATCTGACACTGAAGTGAAGTGGTTCAATCATGTTCAACTCTTCGTGACTCCATGGACTGACCCCTCTAAGGCTCCTCTGTCCATGGAATTTTCCAGGCAAGAATACTGGGTAGCCATTCCCTTCTTCAGGGGATCTTCCCAACCCAGGGGTTGAACCTGGTCTCCTGCATTGCAGGTGGATTATTTACCATGTAAACCACCAGGGAAGCCCTGTACATATTTATATCTTATCAAAATAATAATAAACCTATAAATAATATTAAAATGACAAGGTAATACAGAAAGGTAATGAGTCCACCAGTGGTTATTAAACACATCTTAAAGGATACTTCCCTATGGCAATTTTTGGTATTTTCAGAGGGTAAATATATATATGTGTGTGTGTGTGTATTGAATCAATGATCAGAATGCAAATAGTTCGCCAGTTGACATATCTGTTCTCAAACTAATGGTATGTTAATATGTGCCCCTTTCCTAGGCTGTGAGCACTGTTAAAAATGTATGGAACAAAATAATGGAACAAAAGTATGAACACAAAACCTGTGAGTTAGCTGATTATATGTAACTAGCATGATGTTTATAGCTATGATGTATACAAGAGTCTTTGGTATATAAACATCCTATTAATGCAAACACCAATTTGCTGATTGTGGTACATGCCACTAATTTGGGGCATTCGAGGGGACATCCACCTCAATATACAGATGCCAATTTTCCTGAGCACACGGGTATTATAATCAATCCTTTTCTAAGTGAGAAAGTGAAAAATAAAAGCATGCTTTGAATCATTGTGAAAAATACAGAATCAGATACTCTGCTATTTTCACCATTGGTCTCTATTGTTCCTCATTTGTGTTGCTTGGACACACCACTAATGAGAGTGACTACCTTGGTTCATTTCCTTTCATTTTTACCTCCTGAATCCTTTGAAAGAAGAAAGATGGGCAAGAACAGAACAAAGGCACGTAGGATTGTGGCATTCTTTGAGAACCTATATTACCATTCACACTGCTGAGGTATCTGCTATTTTTCTTGTATGGTTACAGTACAGAAATCATACTCCTGGATCCCAGCATCCTGTGTAGAGTAGGCAGCAGCCTTACATATCCCAAAGCAGCCAGGACATATCCCTGCCTTTGTGCTCATCGCTCTGTGCCTTCATCATCTTGTATCATCCAGCTCATAACAGATGTTCAAAAATAGGTTTGAATGACTGAATAAACAAAAGAAGGATTATGCTAATCAATTTATTGTTGAAAATAAGAATGCCTTTGGGTTTAGAAACAGCTAGTTTAGGACTGAGCTAAATGAGAAAGCTAAAGGAAAGACTGAAATAATTAAGGGAACTGATATTTTTCACAATATGTTAACATATACTCTTTAGGGAGACATATTTCAAATTTTGGCTCTGATTCTTATTTTTCTCCTGTGATCAATGTGGCTCTAAGATTGCTGGAGATAATTTACTTTAAATATAAATGGCATTATTATAACCTCACAAAAACTATATGAGGCTAAAACAAGTTCATACTCACCTATAACTTACCACCAGAAGTAAATGTTTTTGATATGGATGATACAGTTAAACTATCATACTTAAAAATATATCAAAATAATAATAAACCTATAAATAATATTAAAATGACAAGGTAATACAGAAAGGTAATGAGTCCACCAGTGGTTATTAAACACATCTTAAAGGATACTTCCCTATGGCAATTTTTGGTATTTTCAGAGGGTAAATATATATATGTGTGTGTGTGTGTGTGTGTGTGTGTATTGAATCAATGATCAGAATGCAAATAGTTCGCCAGTTGACATATCTGTTCTCAAACTAATGGTATGTTAATATGTGCCCCTTTCCTAGGCTGTGAGCACTGTTAAAAATGTATGGAACAAAATAATGGAACAAAAGTATGAACACAAAACCTGTGAGTTAGCTGATTATATGTAACTAGCATCATGTTTATAGCTATGATGTATACAAGAGTCTTTGGTATATAAACATCCTATTAATGCAAACACCAATTTGCTGATTGTGGTACATGCCACTAATTTGGGGCATTCGAGGGGACATCCACCTCAATATACAGATGCCAATTTTCCTGAGCACACGGGTATTATAATCAATCCTTTTCTAAGTGAGAAAGTGAAAAATAAAAGCATGCTTTGAATCATTGTGAAAAATACAGAATCAGATACTCTGCTATTTTCACCATTGGTCTCTATTGTTCCTCATTTGTGTTGCTTGGACACACCACTAATGAGAGTGACTACCTTGGTTCATTTCCTTTCATTTTTACCTCCTGCATCCTTTGAAAGAAGAAAGATGGGCAAGAACAGAACAAAGGCACGTAGGATTGTGGCATTCTTTGAGAACCTATATTACCATTCACACTGCTGAGGTATCTGCTATTTTTCTTGTATGGTTACAGTACAGAAATCATACTCCTGGATCCCAGCATCCTGTGTAGAGTAGGCAGCAGCCTTACATATCCCAAAGCAGCCAGGACATATCCCTGCCTTTGTGCTCATCGCTCTGTGCCTTCATCATCTTGTATCATCCAGCTCATAACAGATGTTCAAAAATAGGTTTGAATGACTGAATAAACAAAAGAAGGATTATGCTAATCAATTTATTGTTGAAAATAAGAATGCCTTTGGGTTTAGAAACAGCTAGTTTAGGACTGAGCTAAATGAGAAAGCTAAAGGAAAGATTGAAATAATTAAGGGAACTGATATTTTTCACAATATGTTAACATATACTCTTTAGGGAGACATATTTCAAATTTTGGCTCTGATTCTTATTTTTCTCCTGTGATCAATGTGGCTCTAAGATTGCTGGAGATAATTTACTTTAAATATAAATGGCATTATTATAACCTCACAAAAACTATATGAGGCTAAAACAAGTTCATACTCACCTATAACTTACCACCAGAAGTAAATGTTTTTGATATGGATGATACAGTTAAACTATCATACTTAAAAATATACTTTAAAAAGTTTAAAAACTGATCCCTGTGGTTTCTCATAGCAAACAATCATTATTTGCTCAATATATTAAATATGCATTAAATGTATATGGAATTTAAGTTCATTATATATTGCCTGGTAATAGTAGAAAGTTTTATTTAACCATGCTGGATCTGGAATTTTTAAATTTCTAACCACAAGATAGTGATAGTTCATTCATAGAACACATTGAGGATTCAACATTTATGCTATTCAGTATTTTGAGAACTTCTGAAAAGAAATGACATAGATACAAAATATCATTGTCTTAGGAAAAATTTAAAACAATATTTGCCTAAAATAGGCTGCTATATGAAGAACACATAATTTATTGTTAAATATGATCATGTTCTGAAAACACTTACTCCACCTACAAGTTTTGAAGCATTCATTTTCACCAAGAAAGTTTAGTATGTGAGTTAGTAAATATTGAGGTCTGGTGAGAGCCACACAAAGAACTTGGCCAAATATTCACATAAGGGAAATAAATGTAAATATGCACTTCAACCAAATGAATTCAACTCTAGGGCAAATTGCTTTCCCAAGTAAATTCTACGAAAGCTTGAACCTCACGACTCATTAACAATAATGGCCCCTTCTTTCATGATAACTGAGAATGCACCAGTCTGATTGCAGGAGTTTTTATTTCAGGCATCTGTAAAATGTCCTCATCTCCTAAACCTCTGACCACATTAAAAAGCCAAAATATTAATAGTACAGAAAAACCCCTCGACATTTCTCTCTGCCTGAAAGAACTCCTTGGGGCACCAAGAGAAAGACTCACTTTGGAAAAAGTTATATCCTAATTAGTTAATTCTTCCCTTCCATCTTATTTAGTTTGCTCTTTAAAAGATAAATATCACTGCAGCAAAACTGCCCTGTCTTTAAGCAGTAGAAACAAACCAACAGAGCTTATGGCTATACTGGCAACCCAGGCATTAAATAAATGTAGAGCTTTATGCAGTGGAGGAGAATGAAGAAGTTAGTGACCTTAAGACTGTCTCTTCATGAGAGAGCTTAGATAAGAACACTAGCTGATTTATTCTGTTTGTCACTATCTTTATTCTTCTTCATGATCAAAGGTAATCAAGAGATGTATGATGTATACAAACACATAACAAAGTTAAAAGTAATATATTTGGAGCTTAGAGACACTAGTTCAAGTCCTAGTTCAGTCACTGCCTAATTTTGTATCACTGAACTTTGGGCTTTGGCCCTGATAGGAGAGAAGTGGGAAGGGCACCTTTGGAGCTGAGATCAGAAACCACACGTGGTACTACCATCTAGGACTGCCCCTCACCCGGCTGGTTCTTTCATTCTTGCTGGCTCCTTTCCGCTGAGTTTTGCACTGGAGTTATTAGTGTCCAATAAATATTGCAGGACAGAGGTGGTGATGGATGACAGACTCCTCACAAAGGAGACCCATGCGTCCAAGAAAGCCCCAATCCAGAAGACCTGAGACTTAGTTCTTGTGGTCTACAAAGAAGATCATGATGCTGACCACATTCTGTGGACTCTGGGCTCCTATTTCATTGAATTAAAATGAGGGGGTTGGCCTTCTAAGCTCCCACTCCCACCCTATTTCAGTGGAAAACATTCTAAGGAGCTCTTACTTTAGCAATTTATTCAGCACAATCCTTTTATTACTCTTGCTTAATACTTGTAAAATGCCACACATTCCTGGGCTGCGATCACTGTCACTTACTGTAACACTGTTTTCCATCAGCTCCCAGCTCAAAACCAGGTTGGCAGGCACAAGTGAAAGATCCCACTGTGTTCACACAGCGATGGTTGCAGGGAGCAAGCCTTTCAGCACACTCGTTTATGTCTGCAGAAAGAGATACACAGGAGCTGTGTCTTTGAAGCTGGAATTAAGACTTATTTACAAACTATAAACATGAACTAAAGCATCCCCTCCCCTTCAACCCCTAACACAGTGCCAACAAACACAACAGTAAAATATCACATAGGCTCCATATTTGCAAATAAACCAACGTAAAATGACAAGAACTCTGCGGCAGGTCTCACTCATGTTCTTAAACACTTATTTCTATTAGAACCTACTTCTTATTGTTGTTTAGTCACTCAGTTCTGTCCAACTCTTTGTGATCTCATGGACTATAGTCTGCCAGGCTCCTCTGTTCATGGGATTTGCCAGGCAAGAATACTGGAGTAGGTTGCCATTTCCTTCTCTAAGGGATCTTCTCAACCCAGGGACTGAACCCACATTGCCTGCATTGGCACATGGATCCTGTACCACTGAGCTACCTGGGAAGCCCCATGAGAAACTACTGCTATCTATTAATTTGAAGGAAGAGAAAACAAACAAAAACAGACCTTTTCTATCCCCTAACAATACAGATAGAACACTTTAATTTGTCATTGTGAATAGATATCACATTCTTAACCAAAATTGGTATCTCTCTGACTTAAGACAGTACAAGTGGCCCCACACAATGCAGATTTGGAGTCTTCTTAAGTAGCAATCCATAGTACATGTTCCACATATGATTGTCACAGTGCCATTTAAAACCTGGTGCCCTCTCTTTCTCGACACCAATAAACAAGTCTATTCAGTATAACATCATTTTGTGGCCCAGGTAGTTTATTCTCCCCTTACTCTACCCCTGCCTTAAATGGATAGGTTTCATCATCATTTTCCCAAATAGAACTTCCTCCTTATCTTGTCCTGCATGTCACTCCCATCAGAACTTTTAATTTAAGAGAAATGCTCATCTTTCTAAGGTATTACAAAACTCTAAGTAGGCAGTAACTTTGGGGACAGTCCTTTTAGGAATAATGCACCAGATATCAAAATAAAAATTTGAAAAAGATATTCTATAAATTATGGCTATATATCTCAATTTTCCACAGGTATTTAATAAGATCCTAGTTTGTGCCAGATACAGAGCAAGGTAGGTTCTACATAAACAGAGGACCAAGGCAGAAATATTCTGTCAGAAAAGTATGTTTAACAATCCACAGAAAGTTTTATCTTATTTTTGGCTTCAAGAAAAAAAAAAAAAAACACAACTAACTTAACACTAATTTTTATGTATAATTCTTTTTCAATTTCTCAAAGCATTTATCAGTCACATTAGTCAGGAAACATTTTGTATTTTCTTAATTAACCCCAATAAACTGTTTTTCGTTTCATGGAAATGTCATGATAAAAATGAAGGATTCTGTGATTTCTCAGAAGTTCTTAAAACAAAGACAGTCCCACAGGAATGACTTCATTTATCAGTTCTGGTCATGAAGTAATTTATCACTTTCATCTTTGAATTGAAGTATGTCTGTTTTGCTATGTCTAGGAAATGGAAATATGTAACCTTGTATTTCTAGAGTTTCTTTCTCTTTGGTTTTAATTATTCCAAACTTCTGAGAACACTCATTTGCACATACTTGATTTTCAAAGGTTAGCCCCACCTTCTGTAGCCTATAATAAAAGCTCCCTGTGCAATTATGGAAGGTTTTGAAATAATAATTTTGAAATTCACTTCAGAATGAAAAACAGAAAACAAAAAGAATTAATTCTGAAAGTACACCAGATTATTTTTTGTAACTAAAAATTTCACTGAGCTTTTATACTGAATAGTACCATAAAAAATACCTTTCAGAATGATCAAATAAGAATATAAGTGTTTCTTTTAAAGCATAAATGAAAACACCTTTCTCCTAGCTGTTCTGACTATTCAAAACTGAATTACCACAAAATTGCAAACAATTACCCAATTAATCCATCAGCTTCAACTTCTTACCTGCACAGGCCTTTTTGTCTTCAGACAGTTGGTACCCTGGGTGACAGGCACACCTGGCCACGCCATTCTCGCTCTGACAGATGTGGGCACATCCATTCCCACCTGTGCAGGGGTCCATCGCTAGAAGCAATTAAGCAGTGATAGTTTGCAATTCATTAACTGTAGAAAAATGTGCAGAGCAGAAGTGTAGAGAAAGATACAAGAGAACTGGGACCAGAGGGCTTCTCACATTAGGATGGTAAGCCCTTTGGAAAGTCTTTCCCACTTTCAGATGACATTCATCCAACAAAAGGTTCCCCATTTTCTGATCTGAACTCCAAAATCTGAACAAATCTAAACATGAATCAAGGTCAAAGAACTGGCTAATTTTACTCTTTTTAAAAGTTTATCTGCTGTGCTCTCATACCCAAAGTTAAGTAGAGTGAGCAGGAAATCCTCCACACACCTTTGCATTTTTTTCGCCTTCTCTCCCCACTTATTTTACTCATTTGCACAGCAGTTATCCTCATATAAACCTTTCACCTCCTCTCGATTTCCTCTACCTTGGAATAAGCAACCACGATGTGAAGTAAAGGCCAACTGGAGTAAAATGGAAGCGTCTTCGCTACAGCTACCATGGAGATGGAATAAAGAAATTCACATCCCACTGAAATTAGTCAGTGACCTCCTTCTGACCTCCTCCTTTTACTTGCTCTTTTCTTAGTCTCAGTCATATTCTTTGGAAGTCCAAAGTAATGTAAAGCCACACATCCTATCCAGATTACCTCTACATAGAGCTTATTTGTTGAATTCATGAGTTAACTGATCCTGGTCTAAATATGAGAAACAGCCTTGTTTACATTATAAGCTGCTGGGGTGGGAATTTCTACTCTTGCATGTTCCCCTTTCCTTTTTAAAAATAATGCACAGAATATAAAAAAAGCAAAACAATGAATAAAGCTACCTTGTCCCCACATTTACCCCGTTTCATGCAACCACTATCATACATAAATGCTTACATGCTTTCATTACTTTCTTGCAAACCATTTCAGACTTTATGAAAATATAAGTGATACAAACATCTTCTATCTATCTATCACAGATACAACACACATTGTTCTGCTTCTTGCTTTTATGCAGGGGGAGATTGAATTAAATCTGTAGATCAATTTGGGGGAATATTGTCATTTGAACAATATTGGGTTATCTGATCCATGAACACGAGATGTCTTTCCATTTATTTTAGGATCTAACTTGTTTTACCAATGTTTTATAGTTTTCATTACACAATTTTTGCACTTCTTTTGTTAAATATGTTCCTATGTATTTTATCGTATTCAATGCTATGGTAACTAGAATCATTTGTTAATTTTACTTCCAGATATTTTAGTTGCAAGTGTATAGAAATCCAATTGATATTTTACATTTTGATCTTTTATCATGTAACAGCTGGATTTCCTTATTATTCTAATAGCTTTTATTTTTTAAGGTGTATTCCTTAAAATTTTCTGTTTCAAGATCCTGTCATCTGCAAAGAAAGATATTTTACTTCTTTTCTAATCTGGATGCCTTCTATTTTCATGCTTTTTTGCTTTGGCTATAATGTCCAGTACAATGCTGAATAGAAGTGGTATGAACAGATATCCTTGCCTCATTACTGATTATAGGGGGGAAGCTTTCAGCACTTCACTATTAAGTAAATATTAGCTGTGTGTTTCTCATAGATTCCATTTATTGGTTGAGCAAGTTCTCGTCTATTTCTAGTTTGGTGATTTCTCTTATTATGAAAGGGAATTAAATTTTGTCAAGTTTTTTTTTTTTCCCCCTGCATCTATTGAGATGATAAGGTTGGTTTTAATATGGTGTATTTTTAAATACATAAGTTTTAGATGTTGAACCCATCTTGATTTCCTGAGATAAATCTGATTTGGTCATAGGGTATAGTTCCTTTTAAGTGTTGTTGGATTTGGTTTACTAGTATTTTGCTGAGGATTTTTACATCTACAAGCAAACAAGATTTTAGTCTGTAGTCTTTTTTTGTGAAATTTGTGATTTTGGTATCAGAGTAATACTGGCTTCATGGAATGAGCTTGGGATTATTCTCTCCTCTTATATATTTTGGGACAACACTTTTCAACTGATGAAAACAACTCAGAATCCTATACCGAGCAAAATTACCCTGCAGGAATGAGGGAGAAACCAAGACATTCCCACATGATGGAAAACTAAGAGAATTTATCTCTAGCAGACTATTCTAAAATTATGTCATTTTTTTTCTAAATAGAAAGGAAATGATTTTTAAAGAAAGGAATAGTGGAGCACCAAGAAAAAAAGAAAGAACAACAGCATAAGAAAGAAAGAGTAAGAATAGGAAAAATATGTATATATACATATATATACAAAATATTATATATGCATTATATATATGATATATAGAGAAAAATATATAAATACAATAAACTTTACTTCCCCTCATGAATCTCCTAAATTATACTTAATAACTGAATAAAACATAACATTGTCTAACATGGTTCTAAATGTACATAGAGAGAATAGTTAAAAATTATATAGGAATGGAAAAGAGCAGAGAGAAAGTAGTTAAGGTGTCATACTTCACTTGAACTGGTAAAAATGATACTACTGGTAAACAGTTATACACAATATAATACCTGACAACCAGGAAAAAACTAGGTAAAGATATACATTCAAAATTGTTATGAATAAAGGGAAATGGAATTCTAAAAAAAGGTAAAAGAAAGGAAAAGAAAAAAAGAAAAAAATCAAAAAAAATTAAAAAAAAAAAAAAAAAAAAAAAAAAAAAACATGTCAAACAAGTCGTGTCATTACATGACTACATTCATGTAAATGACTTACTATGCCAATTAAAAGGCCCAGTTTTGAAGAATGACTTAGAAAACATGACCTAACTATATGCTGTCTACATGAAACTCACTATGAAAATAATGATATAGGCTGGTAAAAAGTAAAAGGATGGAAAAATGCATATAATACAAACACTGATCAAAAGAAAGCAGGAATGGCACCATTAATATCAGATAAAGTAGATTTCAGCGCAAAGAAAATTACCAGAGACAGACACATTATATAATAATAAAAAAAGAATACTAAAAAGGGCCAATTCACCAAGAAGACATAACAATCTTAAATGTAGGGATTCCTGGGTGGCACAGTGGTAAAGAATCTGCCTGCCAATGCAGGAGATGCGAGAGACAAGGTTCGGTCCCTGAATCGGGAAGATCCCCTGGAGGAAGAAATGCCAAACCATTTCAGTATTCTTGCCTCAAAGGTTCCATGGACAGAGGGGCCTGGTTGGCTACAGTCTACGGGGTCCCAAAATGTTAGACATGACTGTGCATGCATGTATAGGCACACATATGCACCAAACAATAATACTGCAAAATGTGGAAAGCAAAAGCTGATAGAAATGAAGGAGAAATAGACAAATTCACAATTTTGGTTGTAGCCTTTATCTCTACACTTTCACCTATTAAGAACAGAACAACCAGAAAGAAAATCATCAAGAAAAGCCACTATCAACCCATAAGACCTAGTTGACACTTATAAAACACTACATTCAACAACAGCAGGATATATATTCTTGTCAAGTGCCTCCAGAACACTAAACAAAAGATATTTTGTGATGCATAGGCTGTAAAAAATCTCGATGTAAAATAAAAATCATCAAGTTGAATAAAAATAAAAATTCAATACCAAAAATTTGAGGACACAGTTAAAGCAATGCTGAGAGGGAGAGAAAGGGAGAGATTTGTGGTACTAAATCCACTGGAAATGATCTCAAATCAATCATCTAAGCTTCCACTTCAAGAACTCAGAATAAGAAGAGCAAAATAAATCCAAATCAAGTAGAATGAAGAAATAGTAAAAATGAGGTCAGAAAGCAAAAAAATTAAAAACAAAAAAATAGATAATATTACTGAAACAAAGAGTTGGTTCTTAGATCAACAAAATTGACAATGGTGACTGACAAAGAAAGTAAAAAACACAAATGACCACTGTTTGGAATGAAACAGGATATTACTATAAACCCTGATGACATCAAAAGTATAGTAAGACACTACTACAAACAACTCTCCTGAATTTGACAACTTGGATGAAATGGGCTAATTCCTTAAAAGAAATGCAAACAATCACAATTCAATCACATGAAACAGAGAATGTATAAAGCTCTATAAATCTGAAAAAAATTAATTCATAATTTAAACATTCCCCAAAGAGAAATTTTTCAGCCTAGATAATTTCACTGAATAATCCTACCAAACTTTTAAGGAAGAATTAACATCAATTCTAAAATTTCTTCTAAAAAATAGAAGAAATACTTTTTAACTTATCTATTTTATGAAGCTAGTATTATTCTGATACCAAAGCCCAGCAAAGACTTTCTATTTCTAAAAAAGAAAAAGAAAATACTATAGACCAATATCACTCATCAATACAGATGCAAAAAATCCTTCACAAAATTTTAGCAAATAGAATCCAGCAATATATACACACAAGTTACACAGACCAAGGAGGCTTTATTGCAGCATAAACAGCTGGTGCAATATTTAAAATCAATGTAATTCTTCATATTTACAGAATAAAGAAATTCACATGATCATATTAATTAATGTAAAAAATTTGACATAATTCAATAGGGAAAACCACTAGACCATTCAGGTATGACTAAATCAAATCCCTTATATAGTGGAAGTGAGAAATAGGTTTAAGGGACTAGATCTGACAGACAGAGTGCCTGATGAACTATGGATGGAGGTTCATGACATTGTACAGGAGCCAGCGATCAAGACCATCCCCATGGAAAAGAAATGCAAAAAAGCAAAATGGCTGTCTGAAGAGGCCTTACAAATAGCTGTGAAAAGAAGAGAAGCAAAAAGCAAAGGAGAAATGGAAAGATATTCCCATTTGAATGCAGAGTTCCAAAGAATAGCAAGGAGAGATAAGAAAGCCTTCCTCAG